GAGCCTCTTTAACAACAGCGTACAGAAAACCTTCTTGGTTCTTTCGGTAAAGTCACGTAGAAGGGAAATAATAAAATAATAAAAATAAACATAATAAAATAATTCTCACGACGTTTCGGCCACAACGCAAGCAGCCGTCCTCAGGTGAAAACCAGGTCTGTCGAGGCGACAGCGTCTGAATGAAACAGCACACGAGCTTGAAGCATATATATAAGCCGGGCGCCTTGACAAAGGAATTTGCATATCAAGAGGAATTTAGCATATTTATGGGAAATGCAGGAATGTGATTAGTACTACAGCGTACAGTAAAACCTTGGATTTGCGAGCATAACTCGTTCCGGAAACGTGTTTGTAATCCAAAGCGCTCGTTTATCATATTCTTATTATTTCTATTGTTTTTTTTATTTTTTACCTACGTGACTTTACCGAAAAACCTAAGAGTATGAATCCTTGCAGTCACGAAAGCTTCAAATCTAGAACTCGTATATCAGTTGTGATCACGTGACGCTCGGCAGACAAAGCGTATACTACACGTACTACTCGTGTTGCAAGACCCCTCGCTCGTTTATCAAATGAATATTTATTAAAAAATGTTGTTCGTCTTGCAAAACACTCGCAATCCAAGGTTTTACTGTATTTATTTATTTATGTATTTGGCACACCTCATCTTCTTGGTTCTTTCGGTAAAGTCAGACCTGTTCTTCTCCTGAGGACGGCTGCTTGCGTTGTGGCCGAAACGTCGTGAGAATTATTTTATTATGTTTTATTTTCATTATTTTATTACTTCCCTTCTACGTGACTTTACCGAAAGAACCAAGAAGATGAATCCCTGCAGTCACGAAAGCTTTAAATCGAAATTTTATTACGTTTTATTTTTATTAATTTATTACTTCCTTTAAAATTTTCCTTAAAACATAATAACATAGTAATTATTTTATTATGTTTTATTTTTATTATTTTATTATTTCCCTTCTACGTGATTATTTTATGTTTTATTTTCATTATTGTATTATTTCCCTTCTACGTGACTTTACCAAAAGAACCAAGAAGATGAATCCCTGCAGTCACGAAAACTTTAAATCGAAATTTTATTACGTTTTATTTTTATAATTTTATTACTTCCCTTAAAATTGTCCTTAAAACATAATACCATAATAATTAATTTATATTTTTTTAATTTTATTATTTTATTATTTCCCTTCTACGTGATGACTTTACCGAAAGAACCAAGAAGATGAATCCCTGCTGCAGTCACGAAAGCTTTAAATCGAAACGGCGTATTTGTTTATATATTTGGCGCACGTGCGTGCGTGCGCGTGCGTGCGCGTCGGAGTTCGTCCCGCAGGAAGTAGACACTGCAGAACTGTTGCTTGTGCCCGGCTGGCGGGGCAGGTGGTTCCGGCAGGTGAGTGACATGCTGGGGGTGCGCAGCTCTTCGCACGTCCTCTACAAGCCCCACGGGAAGAACCGCACGCCCGGAGAGACACGTACGTAGCCTGGGGGAGTCGCGTTCGTAGCCTGGGGGAGACGTGTTCGTAACTGGGGGAGTGGAGTATGTACCTGGGAGATGTGTTCGTAACTGGGGGAGTGGAGTATGTACCCGAGAAGGTGTGTTCGTAACTGGAGGAGTAATGTACGCACGCCCGGAGAGACACGTACGTAGCCTGGGGGAGTCGCGTTCGTAGCCTGGGGGAGACGTGTTCGTAACTGGGGGAGTGGAGTATGTACCCGAGAAGGTGTGTTCGTAACTGGAGGAGTATGGTACGCACGCCCGGAGAGACACGTACGTAGCCTGGGGGGAGTCGCGTTCGTAGCCTGGGGGAGACGTGTTCGTAACTGGGGGAGTGGAGTATGTACCCGAGGAGGTGTGTTCGTAACTGGAGGAGTAATGTACGCACGCCCGGAGAGACACGTACGTAGCCTGGGGGGAGTCGCGTTCGTAGCCTGGGGGAGACGTGTTCGTAACTGGGGGAGTGGAGTATGTACCTGGGAGATGTGTTCGTAACTGGGGGAGTGGAGTATGTACCCGAGAAGGTGTGTTCGTAACTGGAGGAGTAATGTACGCACGCCGGGAGAGACACGTACGTAGCCTGGGGGGAGTCGCGTTCGTAGCCTGGGGGAGACGTGTTCGTAACTGGGGGAGTGGAGTATGTACCCGAGTAGGTGTGTTCGTAACTGGAGGAGTAATGTACGCACGCCCGGAGAGACACGTACGTAGCCTGGGGGAGTCGCGTTCGTAGCCTGGGGGAGACGTGTTCGTAACTGGGGGAGTAGAGTATGTACCTGGGAGATGTGTTCGTAACTGGGGGAGTGGAGTATGTACCCGAGAAGGTGTGTTCGTAACTGGAGGAGTAATGTACGCACGCCCGGAGAGACACGTACGTAGCCTGGGGGGAGTCGCGTTCGTAGCCTGGGGGAGACGTGTTCGTAACTGGGGGAGTGGAGTATGTACCTGGGAGATGTGTTCGTAACTGGGGGAGTGGAGTATGTACCCGAGAAGGTGTGTTCGTAACTGGAGGAGTAATGTACGCACGCCCGGAGAGACACGTACGTAGCCTGGGGGGAGTCGCGTTCGTAGCCTGGGGGATACGTGTTCGTAACTGGGGGAGTTGAGTATGTACCCGAGGTGTGTTCGTAACTGGAGGAGTAATGTACGCACGCCCGGAGAGACACGTACGTAGCCTGGGGGGATTCGCGTTCGTAGCCTGGGGGATACGTGTTCGTAACTGGGGGAGTTGAGTATGTACCCGAGGTGTGTTCGTAACTGGAGGAGTAATGTACGCACGCCCGGAGAGACACGTACGTAGCCTGGGGGGAGTCGCGTTCGTAGCCTGGGGGATACGTGTTCGTAACTGGGGGAGTGGAGTATGTACCCGAGGAGGTGTGTTCGTAACTGGAGGAGTAATGTACGCACGCCCGGAGAGACACGTACGTAGCCTGGGGGGAGTCGCGTTCGTAGCCTGGGGGAGACGTGTTCGTAACTGGGGGAGTGGAGTATGTACCCGAGGAGGTGTGTTCGTAACTGGAGGAGTAATGTACGCACGCCCGGAGAGACACGTACGTAGCCTGGGGGGAGTCGCGTTCGTAGCCTGGGGAGACGTGTTCGTAACTGGGGGAGTGGAGTATGTACCCGAGGAGGTGTGTTCGTAACTGGAGGAGTAATGTACGCACGCCCGGAGAGACACGTACGTAGCCTGGGGGGAGTGGCGTTCGTAGCCTGGGGAGACGTGTTCGTAACTGGGGGAGTGGAGTATGTACCCGAGGAGGCGTGTTCGTAACTGGAGGAGTAATGTACGCACGCCCGGAGAGACACGTACGTAGCCTGGGGGGAGTCGCGTTCGTAGCCTGGGGGAGACGTGTTCGTAACTGGGGGAGTGGAGTATGTACCCGAGGAGGTGTGTTCGTAACTGGAGGAGTAATGTACGCATGCCCGGAGAGACACGTACGTAGCCTGGGGGGAGTGGCGTTCGTAGCCTGGGGATACGTGTTCGTAACTGGGGGAGTGGAGTACGTTTCTGGGGAGATGTGTTCGTATCTGGGGGAGACGTTTGTACCTGGGGAGGTGTGTTCGTAACTGGGGGAGTAATGTACGCACGCCCAGAGAGACACGTACGTACCCTGGGGGGAGAGGCGTTCGTAACTAGGGGAGATGTGTTCGTAACCAGGGGAGATGTGTTCGTAACTGGGGGATACGTGTTCGTAACTGGGGGAGTGGAGTATACCTGGGGGGTGTGTTCGTATCTGGGGGATTGTTCGTATCTGGGGGAGATGTGTTCGTACCTGGGGAGACGTGTTCGTACCTGGGGGAGTGGCGTTCGTACCTGGGGGAGACGTGTTCGTAACTGGGGGAGACTTGTTCGTACCTGGGGGAGACGTGTACGTACCTGGGGGAGACATGTTCGTAACTGGGGGTAACGTGTTCGTATCTGGGGGAGACGTGTTCGTAATTGGAGAGACGTGTTCGTATCTGGGGGAGACGTGTTCGTATCTGGGGGAGTGGCGTTCGTATCTGGGAAGACGTGTTCGTATCTGGGGGAGACGTGTTCGTATCTGGGGGAGATGTGTTCGTATCTGGGGAGATGTGTTCGTATCTGGGGGAGACGTGTTCGTATCTGGGGGAGACGTGTTCGTATCTGGGGGAGACGTGTTCGTATCTGGGGGGGGCGTGTTCGTATCTGGGGGAGACGTGTTCGTATCTGGGGGAGACGTGTTCGTATCTGGGGGAGACGTGGACGTATCTGGGGGGACGTGTTCGTATCTGGGGGAGACGTGTTCGTATCTGGGGGAGACGTGTTCGTACCGGTGCGTTGCGGCACGCGCCAGGATCGTCAGTGGTGGTGGTAGTGATGGTGTTGGTGTTGATTGTGATGATTGTGGTGGTAATAGTGGTGGTGATGGTAGTGATGGTGTTGGTGGTGGTTCTGATAGCGTTGATGTTGATTGTGATGATTGTGGTGGTGGTATTGTTGGTAGTGATAACAGTGGTGGTGTTAGTGATAGTGGTGGTTCTGATAGCGTTGATGTTGATTGTGATGATTGTGGTGGTGGTAATAGTGGTGGTGATGGTATTGTTGGTAGTGATAACAGTGATGGTGGTGGTAGTGATGGTGTTGATGTTGATTGTGATGATTGTGGTGGTGGTAATAGTGGTGGTGATGGTATTGTTTTTGATAACGTTGGTGGTGACGGTGAAGACAGCGTTGGTTGTGGTGATGGTGGTGATGATAGCGTTTCTGGAGATGATATGATGACATCAATGGTGATCGTGATGTGCATGTTGGTGATAGTAACAGTGATGATGATAACGATGATGTCAATGGTGATCGTGATATTATTGATGGTGATACTAACAGTGATGATGATGATTGTAGCAGTGATGATGATGATATCAATGCTGATAGAGATGTTCATAGTAAAAGTGATGATGGTGATATCGATGTTGACAGTGATGGTGATGATGGTGATGATGGTAAAGATGATATTGATGGTGATCGTGGCTTTCACGATTGTGATAGTAACAGAGATGATGTTGATGTCCGTGATGGTAACAGTGATGATGATATTGATGATCGTGACGTTTGTGATTGTGATAGCAATGGTGATGATGACAATGGTGATAGTGATGTTGACGGAGATGATGTCGGTGATGGTAACAGTGATGATGATGTCAGCGGTGATAGTGATGTTCATGATGATGGTGCTAGTAAGAGTGATGATGATGGTGATGATGACGATGGTGATAGTGATGTTGACGGAGATGATGTTGATGTCCGTGATGGTAACAGTGATGATGATGTCGGCGGTGATAGTGATGTTCATGATGATGGTGCTAGTAATAGCGATGATGATGATGATGAAATCGTGATTGTGATAGTGATGGTGACGATGTTGACGGTGATGCTAGCGGAGTCGGCGTTGGAGAAGCTGACGCGTGGACTGCGAGATGATTCGAAGGCGTTCATCTACCACTGCCAGAACCACTACTTCTGTCCCATCGGATACGACGCCACTCCTCGGCCAGCGGCACACGCCTACCGGTGAGACGCAGGCACAGAATCGGAGTCTTTTATTTGGACTGCGGGAGGAATCCGCGGGTGCTGCTACTGCGAGTAGCAGCACCTGTGAAGGCTACCGGCACTGTGGCACACGAGGGGGGTGGGTGGCCAGCACCACGCCCGGCCGCCTTTGTCTCCCCAGTGGCGATGTTTTTACACACCGCACCAGGTGCTCATCTGAGGCTGAGTCGACCTAGGGGAGGCCCAGGTCCGTTTCAGATAATCGTCACGGGTGTTGGTGGCCGTGACGGGAATCGAACTCGGGATTGCTGGGTTTTAAATGCAGTGCGCTCAGCGCTACGCTGCGCTGCCCGCATGCACATACAGATACACAACAACAACAACAACAACCGCCATTCGCCACGGTGACGTCACCACAGCGCTTGTGACGTCACCACGGCGCTTCTACCAGGCGAGGCGTACATTGACAAAGACAAAGATCCCCCGTGTAGGCTCATCGGACTGTTGGGGCAAGTGCTGTTAGCGAGCACCTATGAAGGCCGGCACGGCACACGAGGGGGTGGGTGGCCAGCACCACGCCCGGCCGCCTTTGTCTCCCCAGTGGCGATGTTTACTACACGCCGCACCGGGTACTCATTTGAGGCCGAGTCGACCTAGGGGAGGTCCAGGATCAGTTCAGACAATCGTCACTTGGTGTTCGCCCTGAGCGGGAATCGAACTCGTGTCGCCGGGTTCATAGCGCAGCGTAGCGCTAACCGCTTTTCTACCTCTGCACGACGCGCAACAAAGACCAAAGATGCGCAGCGGAGGTGATTGAAATATAGTGATAGGTTTTTTACCCTTTCAACTGGTACAAAACTGACACCTTTATACAAGGGATCATGTTTGCAATAACCACAACACAAGCAGTCAAAATGCAAACAAAAAGAAACAACTCCGATAATCATAATGATATGCACTGTCGTTGAAGTTGATTGGTCCACACCTGAGACAGCTTTTCTTAGAGCCTAGTCTCCATTGGTGTTGGACCAGATGACGCCTAAAGGCGCACAACAACTTCAAGGTCAGTGCATATCATTATCAGAGTTGTTTCTTTTTGTTTGCATTTTGACTGCTTGCGTTGTGGTTATCGCAAACATGATTCCTTGTATAAAGGTGTCAGTTTTGTACCAGTTGAAAGGGTAAAAAACCTATTACTATATTTTGCCACTGGTAAAGGAGGTCTCATAGTGTAAATGCTTACCCCGAGCTCTCAATACTCTGATAGTGCGCTGTCTTTGAGTTGTACGCCTTTTGGCGTCATCTGGTCCAACACCAATGGAGACTAGGCTCTAAGGAAAGCTGTCTCGGGTGTGGGCCAATCAACTTCAAGGACAGTGCATATCATCATCATCATCAGAGTTGTTTCTTTTTGTTTGCATTTTGACTGCTTGTGTTGTGGTTATTGCAAACATGATCCCTTGTATAAAGGTGTCAGTTTTGTACCGGTTGAAAGGGTAAAAAACCTATCACTCCATTTTGCCACTGGTAAAGGAGATGTCTCATAGTGTGATCGAAGGAGTTGGGGGTGGTGCCCCTTTTCGCTCTGTGCCAGGCGAGGGGAATCCGCTCCGCTGGACTACTGGATTCTCATCGGAGAAACGAGCCGCAAGCACCCGGCCATCCACTGCAAGAGGTGAGCGGGGCGGGACACTGGCTTGGTTTTTATTGTTGTCATCGTCGTCACGGCGAGGCCTCGCTTCACGCGTGGCGTACACGACAAGGCGTTTTCGCTGGAACTCGGTTCTTTCGTTTGGGAACACTTTTCGCGCAACGTTTCCCGAGATAATGCACGGCGTTATAACGCCGGACACGCGATCGCTGTAACGCGCGAAACGCGCCGTTATAATGCCAAACGCGCGCCGTTATGTTTCACGCCGTTATAACGCCGGACACGCGATCGTTGTAACGCGCGAAACGCGCCGTTATAATGCCAAACGCGCGCCGTTATAATGCACACCGTTATAACGCCGGACACGCGATCGTTGTAACGCGCGAAACGCGCCGTTATAATGTCAAACGCGCGCCGTTACAACGCAGGAAACACGCGCCCGTGAGAACGCGGCTTCTGAGCGGGTTGACAACGAACTACTTTCTTGAACTGCGCCGCTGAGCGGTACAGTGATGCAGCAGCACGCGGAGGGATATGGTCACGTAGTGGCGGCGTAGTTATCTGTCCCCGCCGACTAACTGCGCGGGCTGCGTAGTAGCGCTTATTATCTCATAATCAACGTTGTTGGGTTAGATGGCGTTATTTATAAATGTGTCGTAACCCTCCACCACCCGACACGGCCAATCAGTCAAACAGTGTCACGTTTGACAAAAGACAAAATAGTTCACTGCTTTAGCCCCACGCCGGCGTGTTGAAGAGTGAAACCACAACATTTACAATTTTTGAGTAGTACGACGTTTCGCTGGTCATTGCATCCAGCATCATCGGGCAATTCGCCAGAATGGTGAGGGGCTCTGCTGTGTCTCCCGTTCTTAAATAGAGCAGCAGCAGCAGCAGGGTGACGTCATCATTTGACTCATCATATGCATCGTAACAACTGCCTGATCACTAATCTAGTATATAATTACAATACCCCCCCCCCCCAAATCGTTGCACCTGATGAGTCAATGATGACGTCACCCTGCTGCTGCTGCTGCTCTATATAAGAACGGGAGACAGAGCAGAGCCTCTCACCATTCTGGCGAATTGCCCGATGATGCTGGTATGTAATTACCAGCGAAACGTCGTACAACTCAAAACAAAAACTGTAAATGTTGTGGATTCACTCTTCAACACGCCGGTGTGGGGCTAAAGCAGCGAACTATTTTGTCTTTTTCTTCTTGGTTTTTTCGGTAAAGTCACGTAGAAGGGAAGTAATAAAATAATAAAAATAAAACAATAAAATAATTCTCACGACGTTTCGGCCACAACGCAAGCAGCCGTCTTCAGGTGAAGGCTGCTTGCGTTGTCGCCGAAACGTCGTGAGAATTATTTTATTATGTTTTATATTTTTATTATTTTATTACTTCCCTTCTACGTGACTTTACCGAAAAAACCAAGAAGACGAATCCCTGCAGTCACGAAAGCTTTAAATCGAAATTTATTTTGTCTTTTGTCAACGTGACACTTTTTTTTACTGATTGGCCGTGTCGGGTGGTGGAGCGTTACGACACATTTATAAATAACGCCATCTAACCCAAAAAACTTTATTGTGAATAATACTGGTCGCGAAAGCCTGCTACGTGTTAAACTGACATCTTATCTCGCCAAACTTAACCGTTACGACAGCGTTCATGGGCGTTCGGCTTCGTGCGGTGCGAAAGAAGTCACACGTACATACGTGCGTACTGTTCAGGAACGCATCTAGCGCGTTAAGGGAGGACTTGCCGTATTATCATCCAGGACAGCCTCCTCGTGAGTCTTTTGAGGGGAGCGGTGGCGCAGTGGTTAGCGCGCGCTGCACTACGAACCCGGCGACCCGAGTTCGATTCCCGCTCACAGGCCAACACCAACACCGGTGACGATTATCTGAACCTGGTCCTGGGCCTCCCCTAGGTCGACTCAGCCTCAAATGAGTACCTAGTGCGGTGTGTAGTAAACATCGCCACTGGGGAGACAAAGGCGGCCGGGCGTGGTGCTGGCCACCCACCCCCTCGTGTACCGTTCCGGCCTTCATAGGTGCTCGCTAACTGCACTTGCCCCTACAGTCTGTTAAGGCTATACGGGGGATCTTTGTCCGTGTGTGTGTGTGTGTCAGGTGGGTTGACGTGGTCACGGACCTCAGCTGCCAGAGTCCCGAGTTTCTGGACATCAGACGCACGGAGAAAGGCCTCCAGCAGAGAAAAACCAACAAGGTGCAGCCGACACAGACAAAGATCACTCCCCCCCCCCCACCCCCCGCATCGTCGCATAGCCTCTAGCCCAGGGGTCAGGAACCTTTTTGACTGGGAGAGCCATAAAAGCCAAATATTTCTAAATATATTTAATTGAGAGCCGTATAGTAATTTTTTACGTGTAATAAATTAAATATGTCTTACTTTTAATGCGACTTCTGGTGCTGCGTGGTTTTGCTGATGGCCTTGTGTAGTCTGGTTCAGTGAGGTTGAGCTTCGTGCAGGCGTGACCCGTGACATTTATCTTCAAAACTAATTTATGTTTACTTCAAAACGACACGGTATTATTAAGCAATATCACAAGTATTTTAAAATCAGTTCCAAACTGATTTTTTATTTTTATTTATTATTTTTTCAACTCAAAATTGTCTGGGAGCCATTTGCCGTCACTGGAAGAGCCATATATGGCTCGCGAGCCATAGGTTCCCGACCGCTGCTCTAAACGGACCGCCAGGGCAAGTGCTGTTTGCGAAGTAGCGCCTACACTGAGGAACACCGCGTAGCGGGAAAAATCGCGTTGTAATAAATCATTTCGGGGGCAAAGCGCGCTCCGCGAAAACACGTGAGATGCATTCGCAGGCCGAGCGGAAGACGCGTAGAGTGGCATCTAGAAGCATCCAGCAGCATCCCAGCGCCTCGTGTGGTGATGATGATGATTTCGATGTAAAGCTTTCGTGACTGCAGGGATTCATCTTCTTGGTTCTTTCGGTAAAGTCACGTAGAAGGGAAATAATAAAATAATAATAATTAACATAATAAAATACAATTCTCACGACGTTTCGGCCACAACGCAAGCAGCCGTCCTCAGGTGAAGAACAGGTCTGTCAGAAAGACAGATGTCTTTTAATATTTAATATATAATATAAAAATGCGCAGGGCAGCCCTAGACCTGTTCTTCACCTGAGGATGGCTGCTTGCGTTGTGGCCGAAACGTCGTGAGAATTATTTTATTATGTTTTATTTTTATTCTTTTATTATTTCCCTTCTACGTGACTTTACCGAATGAACCAAGAAGATGATGAAGATGATGATACGCCGAGGCGCCGGTACGACCGCCTGTTCCCACTCGCGCTGCGACCCTAGTTCACTCAATCTCGTTGTAAAAAAGAAAAGCGTGTTCCCTGCGATACACGAATCGTGTTATATCCAATGCGCGTCATGAGAACGGCAGGCGTCGTAGGAGAACGGAGCGCCGTCGCACGGAATTCGACATCCTACCGCTGACGCTTATCAACTAAATCCCCGGGGGGGGGTGGGTGGGTGGTCCGTCTTTGTCTCCCTCCTTGCCACCACCCCCGCTCCACCCTTGCCCCGCAGGTCGGGGGCAATCTGCACTGCATAATGGCGTTCCATCGACCCCACCAGCCGCCCCGGGGAATCTGCCGGCCACTCGGCGTGCGCGGAGGCGGCTGCGGTTGCGGTTGTGGTGTCTGCTGCGATGGTGGTGGTGGTGGTGGTGGCCGTGGCGGTGGTGGTGGCAACAGCATAACCACACAACCACGTCCCGCCTCCCTCTCCTCTCCTCGACTTGCTACTGCTCCTCCGCCCGCTTCTCCTCCTCTTCCACATTCCCCGACGTTCGTCTCCGGAGCGAACAGAGCGCGGCGCGCGACGGGAGCTGCCGTGAATTCGAGTCCCCGTGGCATCGCGGCGACGCGCCTGGGACGTTGACCACGGGGAGATGGGACGCAGCGCCTCCGAGTAGCGCGGATTGGCGAAAGAGGTTCAGCATGCGTATGTAGCGGACGCGCGCGTGTTGGCGCACAGCCTGGCGCAAGCGCCGTGGTGACGTCACCGCCACTTGGTGGCGAATGGCGGTTGTTGTTGTTGTTAGCACGCAGCGGTGGTGGTGGTGCAGCGGTTAGCGCTACGCTGCGAAACGAACCCGGCGGCCCGGGTTCGATTCCCGCTCGCGGCCGACGCCGGTGACGATTATCTGTACCGGTCCTGGGGCCTCCACTCAGTCGCCTCTATGGTGTGTAAACATTGCACTTGGGGTGGTGGTGTGTAGTCAACATCGCCACTGGGGAGACAAAGGCGGCCGGGCGTGGTGGCGGCCACCCACCCCGTCGCGTGCCGCGCCGGCCTTCATAGGTGATGCTGTTAGCGAACGGCACTTGCCGCCAACTGTGTTGAGGCTATACGGGGGATCTTTGTCTTTTCGAATTGGGTTTGTGTGCGTTTGTCAGTATGTACGTGTGTGTGTTTATACGTACAAATGTACGTAATTGTGCGTCCATGAGTCTGTATCCTTTTATGTGTCTGTGTGTGTGTGTATGCACACTTGCCAAGGTGGATATTTTTTTCGTGGTGTAGTGGTAATTGATTGAAGGTGGCACTGTTCACCACAGCGTTACCAAGTTGGCACAGTAGGGGGCACAGGTGGTGCATCGGCCAGTCATCTCAGTCGACTCACGGCACCTGGGTCTGCCCCGTGACCTACCGGCGGGCGTTCGACACTTCACGTGGCCTCAACGTGCACATAGCCTGGCACAAGCGCCGTGGTGACGTCACCGCCACTTGGTGGTGAATGGCGTTTGTTGTTGTGGTTGTGTACGTATGTCAGTCGAACCATGGCACCTGGGTCTGCCCCGTGACCTACCGGCGGGCGTTCGACACTTCACGTGGCCTCAACGTGCACATAGCCTGGCACAAGCGCCGTGGTGACGTCACCGCCACTTGGTGGCGAATGGCGGTTGTTGTTCTGTGTGTGTGTCTGTGTGTGTGTGTCTGTGTGTGTCTGTGTGTGTGTGTCTGTGTGTGTGTCTGTGTGTGTGTGTCTGTGTGTGTGTGTCTGTGTGTGTGTGTCTGTGTGTGTGTCTGTGTGTGTGTCTGTGTGTGTGTATGTGTGTGTCTGTGTGTGTGTGTGTGTGTCTGTGTGTGTGTGTCTGTGTGTGTGTGTCTGTGTGTGTGTGTCTGTGTGTGTGTGTCTGTGTGTGTGTCTGTGTGTGTGTGTCTGTGTGTGTGTGATGTGTGTGTGTGTCTGTGTGTGTGTGTGTCTGTGTGTGTGTGTCTGTGTGTGTGTGATGTGTGTGTGTGTCTGTGTGTGTGTGTGTGTCTGTGTGTGTGTGTCTGTGTGTGTGTGATGTGTGTGTGTGTCTGTGTGTGTGTGTGTGTCTGTGTGTGTGTGTCTGTGTGTGTGTGTATGTGTGTGTCTGTGTGTGTGTGTCTGTGTGTATGTGTGTGTGTCTGTGTGTGTGTGTCTGTGTGTATGTGTGTGTCTGTGTGTGTGTGTCTGTGTGTGTGTATGTGTGTGTGTGCGTGTGAAACAGTGGGGGAACACAACCCACGCGTGCGGTTACTATGGAAGCGCAATGCGGTTTTCGAGTCGTGTCTTTAATGTACATGGGTATATTTTTTAATCGTAACATTAGAGTATTGTCATTTTTTTTTATTGCACGTGTGTAATATTTTGGGGGTATTCACTTTACAATTAATAAAATGCGAATACGAACATTTTGCCTTTTTGACGTTATTTTTTCGGCTCATAACTTACCGGGCACAGACCCCAAAATGCCAAGGGGCCACCGCCAAACTGAAGTTTAAAGTTTACATGAGCGACGGTCGTGGCTTCGACCCCCAACCCTGACGCCTGCTGCTGTATATTTGGAGTTTGTGTGTCTCTCTCTCTCCCATCACCATCACGGTAGCTAGGAGATGTTGACTACCTCGCCTGGTGTACAGGAGGTCGTGGCTTCGACCCCCAACCCTGACGCCTGCTGCTGTATATTTGGAGTTTGTGTGTCTCTCTCTCTCCCATCACCATCACGGTAGCTAGGAGATGTTGACTACCTCGCCTGGTGTACAGGAGGTCGTGGGTTCGATCCCGCCCCTGACGCCTGCTGCTGTATATTTGGAGTTTGCGTGTCTCTCTCTCATCATCACGGTGGCTAGGAGATGTTGACTACCTCGCCTGGTGTACAGGAGGTCGTGGGTTCGATCCCGACCCTGACCGCCTGCTGTATATTAGGAGTTTGCGTGTTTCTCTCATCATCATCACGGTGGCTAGGAGATGTTAACTACCTCGCCTGTTATGCAGGAAGTCGTGGGTTCAATCCTGACCCTGACGCCTGCTGCTGTATATTTGGAGTTTGCGTGTCTCTCATCATCATCATCACGGTGGCTAGGAGATGTTAACTACCTCGCCTGGTGTACAGGGGGACATGGGTTTGATCCCGACCCTGACGCCTGCTGCTGTATATTTGGAGTTTGCGTGTGTCTCTCATCATCATCATCACGGTGGCTAAGAGATGTTAACTACCTCGCCTGGTATACAGGAGGTCGTGGGTCCGACCCTGACGCCTGATGTATATTTGGAGTTTGCGTTTCTCTCTCATCATCATCATCACGGTGGCTAGGAGATGTTGACTACCTCGCCTGGTGTACAGGAGGTCGTGGGTTGCGTCTCTCTCTCGTGGATTTATCTCCACTCCAAGTCCACAATCGGCATCACGCGTTTAGAGTCTTCGGCTGCTGCTATACATTTCCACACGGTGATGATAGGGGCCGTCCATAAATGACGTCACGCGATTTTGTACGATTTTTTACCCCCCCCCCCTCAAATATGACGTCACAAAGCTCTGCCCCCCCCCCCAAAATCATTTCCATTTTGAAAATAAAAAATGCTTCAAATCGCTTTAAACTGTTGTCATTGTAGTGCGTATGTAATGTGGCGCTGCACTCTGATGTTGTAGGAGTGTTGTTATGACAATTAGTGTTAAAGTTGCGCATTTTGATGTGACATCACATTTCTCAAACCCCAGCCCCCCCCCCCCCCTCGTCGCACATTGTCACGAATGTCTGACCCCCCCAAGTGCGTGACGTCATTTATGGACGGCCCTATAAGCCGTCACTTCGTTGAGCAACCATCATTTTTCGATGTAAAGCTTTCGTGACTGCAGGGATTCATCTTCTTGGTTCTTTCGTCAAAGTCACGTAGAAGGGAAATAATAAAATAATAAAAATAAAACTTAATAAAATACAATTCTCACGACGTTTCGGCCACAACGAAAGCAGCCGTCTTCAGGTGAAGAACAGGTCTGTCGGAAAGACAGCGTCTGAATGAGCACCACCAAGCTTGGCAGCGTATATTTAAGCTGGGTTGGAGGGGGGAAGGGCGCCTTGACAAAGGAATTTGCACATCAAGAGGAATTTAGCATATTTATGGGAAATGCAGATATGGGATTAGTCACTACTTGTGTAATGCGTAGTCATATTATGCCCGTGCATTATGTAGGATTAGCAGCATCAAAGGGAGGGAGTAGGGTTAGCAGCAATAGAGCGAAGGCATTTTAATAGAAAGGAGCTGTAGCAGCCAAAGGGATTCATCTTCTTGGTTCTTTCGCTAAAGTCCCGTAGAAGGGAAGTAATAAAATAATAAAAATAAAAAAAAATTATTACTTTTTAAAATAAATATTTTAATAAGATAGAAATATGTTTTATTATTAAATCAATATTTTGCTCTAATTATAAACCTAAATATTTTTATTATTTTATTCAATGAATATTTTGATTAAATAAAAATTTAATCTTTCTATTATTTTATTATTTCCCTTCTACGTGACTTTACTGAAAGAACGGCTGCTTGCGTTGTGGCCGAAACGTCGTGAGAATAATTTTATTATGTTTTATTTTTATTATTTTATTACTTCCATTCCACGTGACTTTACCGAAAGAACCAAGAAAGATCAACCATCATTCGAGACAGCCAGGGTAGCTTCTACATCGTTATACAAATAGTTATTTATTAGTTCGGGTGGAAGCCCTTCGTGTTCATCCAGCAGTCGACAGATCAAAGCGACCTGCGGGGCTCACGTGTTGCCATTTAAATTTCGATTTAAAGCTTTCGTGACTGCAGGGATTCATCTTCTTGGTTCTTTCGGTAAAGTCACGTAGAAGGGAAGTAATAAAATAATACAAATAAAACACAATAAAATTAATTTTATTATGTTTTATTTTTTATTATTAGAAGATGTTGCCATTTAACTTTCAATTTCACCGCCGCTGAAGATTTCGTTCCGGATTCAATTGACGCCGAACTAATTGGTTCCGGGCGTTTCCGCCCGCCACAGCTGTCAATCAAACCTCCCGGAGCAGGCCGACGTCACGTCCGGTTCGAATTTCGCAGTCCGCTTAAGCGCCGGCGTTGCACCCGCCGCCCTCTCATTGGCTGCCCGCGCCGAGTGACGTCACCAACCCGGATGAGAGGCGCGGCGCATCCGCGGTAGGGATTCCAATAGCGGGGAGGAGCATCCAGTCGGCGCCCACGTTGAGGTGAGTCCAGAGTGGCCGTGTTGGTGAGGTCAGGGGTCGTGTTGGTGGGGTCACGTGTTGGTGGGGGTCACGTGGTCGTGTCGGTGGGGGTCACGTGGTCGTGTCGGTGGGGGTCACGTGGTCGTGTCGGTGGGGGTCACGTGGTCGTGTCGGTGGGGGTCAGAGTGGTCGTGTCGGTGGGGGTCACGTGGTCGTGTCGGTGGGGGTCAGAGTGGTCGTGTCGGTGGGGGTCACAGTGGTCGTGTCGGTGGGGGTCACAGTGACCGTGTCGGTGGGGGTCACAGTGACCGTGTCGGTGGGGGTCACAGTGGTCGTGTCGGTGGGGGTCAGAGTGGTCGTGTCGGTGGGGGTCAGAGTGACCGTGTCGGTGGGGGTCACAGTGGTCGTGTCGGTGGGGGTCACAGTGGTCGTGTCGGTGGGGGTCAGAGTGGTCGTGTCGGTGGGGGTCAGAGTGGCCGTGTCGGTGGGGGTCAGAGTGGTCGTGTCGGTGGGGGTCAGAGTGGTCGTGTCGGTGGGGGTCACGTGGTCGTGTCGGTGGGGGTCAGAGTGGTCGTGTCGGTGGGGGTCAGAGTGGTCGTGTCGGTGGGGGTCACGTGGTCGTGTCGGTGGGGGTCAGCGTGGTCGTGTCGGTGGGGGTCAGAGTGGTCGTGTCGGTGGGGGTCACAGTGACGTGTCGGTGGGGGTCAGAGTGGTCGTGTCGGTGGGGGTCAGAGTGACGTGTCGGTGGGGGTCAGAGTGGTCGTGTCGGTGGGGGTCAGAGTGGTCGTGTCGGTGGGGGTCACGGTGACGTGTCGGTCAGGGGGTCACGGTGACGTGTCGGTCAGGGGGTCACGGTGACGTGTCGGTCCCAGGGGGTCACAGTGACGTGTCGGTGGGGGTCAGAGTGGTCGTGTCGGTGGGGGTCACAGTGACCGTGTCGGTGGGGGTCAGAGTGGTCGTGTCGGTGGGGGTCAGCGTGGTCGTGTCGGTGGGGGTCAGAGTGGTCGTGTCGGTGGGGGTCAGAGTGGTCGTGTCGGTGGGGGTCAAGTGGTCGTGTCGGTGGGGGTCACAGTGACCGTGTCGGTGGGGGTCAGAGTGGTCGTGTCGGTGGGGGTCACAGTGACCGTGTCGGTGGGGGTCAGAGTGGTCGTGTCGGTGGGGGTCAGCGTGGTCGTGTCGGTGGGGGTCAGAGTGGTCGTGTCGGTGGGGGTCAGAGTGGTCGTGTCGGTGGGGGTCACAGTGACCGTGTCGGTGGGGGGCAGAGTGGTCGTGTCGGTGGGGGTCAGCGTGGTCGTGTCGGTGGGGGTCAGAGTGGTCGTGTCGGTGGGGGTCAGAGTGGTCGTGTCGGTGGGGGTCACAGTGACCGTGTCGGTGGGGGTCAGAGTGGTCGTGTCGGTGGGGGTCACAGTGGTTGTGTCGGTGGGGGTCAGAGTGACGTGTCGGTGGGGGTCACAGTGACCGTGTCGGTGGGGGTCACAGTGGTCGTGTCGGTGGGGGTCACAGTGGTCGTGTCGGTGGGGGTCAGAGTGACGTGTCGGTGGGGGTCACAGTGGTCGTGTCGGTGGGGGTCAGAGTGACGTGTCGGTGGGGGTCACAGTGGTCGTGTCGGTGGGGTCAGAGTGACGTGTCGGTGGGGGTCACAGTGGTCGTGTCGGTGGGGTCAGAGTGACGTGTCGGTGGGGGTCACAGTGGTCGTGTCGGTGGGGTCAGAGTGACGTGTCGGTGGGGGTCAAGTGGCCGTGTCGGTGGGGGTCAGAGTGCCGTGTCGGTGGGGGTCAAGTGGTCGTGTCGGTGGGGGTCAGAGTGACGTGTCGGTGGGGGTCAAGTGGTCGTGTCGGTGGGGGTCAGAGTGCCGTGTCGGTGGGGGTCAAGTGGTCGTGTCGGTGGGGGTCACGTGGCCGTGTCGGTGGGGGTCACGTGGCCGTGTCCGTTCGTAATGAAAGTCGGGTTCGTCATGAGCACGACAACTTCTGAATGGGCGTTTCTGACGAAAAAGTTTCACCGCAAATGTCATTCATCTTGCCACGTGTGTCGCACAGTACAAGCAGCTCGGGTTCACGACGGCCGTGCCAAGATGCATGTGGATGACGCAAGGAAGTTATAAATACCCACCTCGTGGTTAATTGATCTAGTGGCAGCTCGATAATGGGCGTGTCGGGTTCACGTTGACTGTGTCAGCTTCCATCGTGGCCACGACCCTCGGAGGGGTCACGATGGGCACGTCAGAGCCAAGATCATCCCAATTAATTCCTCAGAGTTACGCAGAGACCCATAGAGTTACATAGAGATCCATAGAGTTACAGGGAGACCCATAGAGTTACAGGGAGATCCATAGAGTTACAGGGAGACCCATAGAGTTACACAGAGACCCATAGAGTTACACAGAGACCCATAGAGTTACACAGAGACCCATAGAGTTACACAGAGACCCACAGAGTTACACAGAGACCCATAGAGTTACACAGAGACCCATAGAGTTACACAGAGACCCATAGAGTTACACAGAGACCCATAGAGTTACACAGAGACCCATAGAGTTACACAGAAACCCATAGAGTTACACAGAGACCCATAGAGTTACACAGAGACCCATAGAGTTACACAGAGACCCATAGAGTTACACAGAGACCCACAGAGTTACACAGAGACCCATAGAGTTACACAGAGACCCATAGAGTTACACAGAGACCCATAGAGTTACACAGAGACCCATAGAGTTACACAGAGACCCATAGAGTTACACAGAAACCCATAGAGATACACAGAAACCCATAGAGTTACACAGAGACCCATAGAGTTACACAGAGACCCATAGAGTTACACAGAGACCCATAGAGTTACACAGAGACTCACTGAGTTACACAGAGACCCATAGAGTTACACAGAGACCCATAGAGTTAGACAGAGACCCATAGAGTTACACAGAGACCCATAGAGTTACACAGAGACCCATAGAGTTACACAGAGACCCATATAGTTACACAGAGACCCATATAGTTACACAGAGACCCATAGAGTTACACAGAGACCCATAGAGTTACATAGAGACCCATAGAGTTACACAGAGACCCATAGAGTTACACAGAGACCCATAGAGTTACACAGAGACACATAGAGTTACACACAGACTCATAGAGTTACACAGAAACCCATAGAGTTACACAGAGACTCACTGAGTTACACAGAGACCCATAGAGTTACACAGAGACCCACTGAGTTACACAGAGACCCATAGAGTTACACAGAGACCCATAGAGTTACACAGAAACCCATAGAGTTACACAGAGACCCATAGAGTTGCACAGAAACCCATAGAGTTACACAGAGACTCACTGAGTTACACAGAGACCCATAGAGTTACACAGAAACCCATAGAGTTACACAGAGACCCATAGAGTTACACAGAGACCCATAAAGTTACACAGAGATCCATAGAGTTACACAGAGACCCATAGAGTTACACAGAGATCCATAGAGTTACACAGAGACCCATAGAGTTACACAGAGACCCATAGAGTTACACAGAGACCCATAGAGTTACACAGAGACCCATAGAGTTAAATAGAAACCCATAGAGTTACACAGAGACCCATAGAGTTACACAGAGACCCATAGAGTTACATAGAAACCCATAGAGTTACAGGGAGACCCATAAAGTTACACAGAGACCCGTAGAGTTACACAGAGATTCATAGAGTTACACAGAGACCCATAGAGTTACACAGAGATTCATAGAGTTACACAGAGACCCGTAGAGATACACAGAGACCCATAGAGTTACACAGAGATCCATAGAGTTACACAGAGACCCATAGAGTTAAAGAGACCCATGGAGATACACAGAGACCCATAGAGTTAGACAGTGACACATAGAGTTACACAGAGACCCATAGAGTTACACAGAGACCCATAGACTTACACAGAGACTCACTGAGTTACACAGAGACTCACTGAGTTACACAGAGACCCATAGAGTTAGAGACCCATAGAGTTACACAGAGACCCATAGAGTTACACAGAGACCCATAGAGTTACACAGAGACCCATAGTTACACAGAGACCCATAGAGTTACACAGAGACCCATAGAGTTACACAGAGACCCATAGAGTTACACAGAGACCCATAGACTTACACAGAGACTCACTGAGTTACACAGAGACCCATTGAGTTACACAGAGACCCATAGAGTTACACAGAGACCCATAGACTTACACAGAGACTCACTGAGTTACACAGAGACTCACTGAGTTACACAGAGACCCACAGAATTGGCCTGAAGGTCAATTTCACGTCACTCTGAAGTCCAATTTCACGCTAATGGCCTTCAGAACGACGCCCTAACGCCACGCTGGGCGTGTTCCCGGCATTCCGACCACGACGCCTCCTCCCAGTGTCGCGTCTTCTACCGCGCCTCCTTTACCCCCCCTCCACACTCACCCCCCCCCCCACTCACCCCCCCCCCGTGTCCTTTCCCCCGCAGAGTCTCCCGTTCCGGCTCGGTGGGTGAAAGAGACACGCGAAGCGGACGCCGGGCGGAGAGAGAGAGACGCTGCGTGGGGACACGTCGTGGACGCGGAGACAGATACACACCAGGAGACATCGGCGGAGAGTCCTGGGAGAGACTCGGGAGAGACTCTGGGAGACGCGGGAGAGAGAGGAGGGAGACGCGGGAGAGAGATTCTGGGAGACTCTGGGAGACGCGGGAGAGAGACTCTGAGAGACTCTGGGAGACGGGGGACGACTCGGAGACTCTCTGGGAGAGAGACTGAGAGGCTCGTGAGAGGCATGGGGAAAGGTGTCGCGAATTGTGAACGCCACATCTGCTGCTGCCGCTGCTGCCGCTGCTGCCGCTGCTGACGGGAGAGGTGGGAGAGAGAGTAGAGAAGAGAGAGTCGGAGAGGGGAGAGGGGGGAGAGTAGATTAGGCAGAGAGTAGGGGAGAGGAGAAGGGGGTAGAGGGGGAGTGAGGAGGAGGAGGAGGAGGAGGGGAGAGGATAAGGGGGTAGAGGGGGAGGAGGAGGAAGAGGGGAGAAGAGAAGGGGTAGAGGGGGAGTGAGGAGGAGGAGGGGGTAGAGGAGGAGGGAGAGGAAAAGGGGGTAGAGGGGGAGTGAGGAGGAGGAGGAGGAGGGGGTAGAGGAGGAGGAGGAGGGAGAGGAAAAGGGGGTAGAGGGGGAGTGAGGAGGAGGAGGAGGAGGGGGTAGAGGAGGAGGAGGAGGGGAGAGGAGAAGGGGGTAGAGGGGGAGTGAGGAGGAGGAGGAGGAGGGGGGAGCGATGATCGAGGGGGTCGACCCGGTGCTGCAGAGTCTGCTGGGCACCCTGTTCACGTGGGGACTCACGGCAGCCGGAGCAGCACTCGTCTTCCTGCTGCCGGGGAGAGGCACGGTGAGAGGGAGAGAGAGAGAGTGAGAGAGAGTGTGAGAGTGAGAGAGTGTGAGAGTGAGAGAGAGTGTGAGAGAGTGTGAGAGAGTGTGTGAGTGTGAGAGAGTGTGAGAGAGTGTGTGAGAGTGTGTGAGTGTGAGAGAGTGTGAGAGAGTGTGAGAGAGTGTGAGAGAGTGTGAGAGGGAGAGTGAGTGAGTGTGAGAGAGAGTGCGAGAGAGAGTGTGAGAGTGTGAGAGTGTGAGAGAGTGTGAGAGAGTGTGAGAGTGAGTGTGAGAGTGTGTGAGTGTGAGAGAGTGTGAGAGAGTGTGTGAGAGTGTGTGAGTGTGAGAGAGTGTGAGAGAGTGTGAGAGAGTGTGAGAGAGTGTGAGAGGGAGAGTGAGTGAGTGTGAGAGAGAGTGCGAGAGAGAGTGTGAGAGTGTGAGAGTGTGAGAGAGTGTGAGAGAGTGTGAGAGTGAGTGTGAGAGTGTGTGAGTGTGAGAGAGTGTGAGAGTGTGAGAGTGTGTGAGTGTGAGAGAGTGTGAGAGAGTGTGAGAGAGTGTGAGAGAGTGTGAGAGAGTGTGAGAGTGTGAGAGTGTGAGAGAGTGTGAGAGAGTGTGAGAGTGAGTGTGAGAGTGTGAGAGTGTGAGAGTGTGAGAGAGTGTGTGAGAGTGTGAGAGAGTGTGTGAGAGTGTGAGAGTGAGTGTGAGAGTGTGAGAGAGTGTGAGAGTGAGTGTGAGAGTGTGAGAGTGTGAGAGAGTGTGAGAGAGTGTGAGAGTGAGTGTGAGAGTGTGAGAGTGTGAGAGAGTGAGTGAGTGTGAGAGTGTGAGAGAGTGTGTGAGAGTGTGTGAGTGTGAGAGTGAGAGAGTGTGAGAGAGTGAGTGAGTGAGAGAGTGTGAGAGAGTGTGTGAGTGAGTGAGTGAGAGAGTGTGAGAGAGTGTGAGAGAGAGTGTGAGAGAGAGAGTGTGTGAGTGTGAGAGAGAGAGAGTGAGTGAGTGTGAGAGAGTGTGAGTGTGAGAGAGAGTGCGAGAGAGTGTGAGAGTGAGAGAGTGTGAGAGAGAGTGTGTGAGAGTGTGTGAGAGTGTGTGTGAGAGTGTGAGAGAGAGAGAGAGAGTGTGAGAGAGAGTGTGTGAGAGTGTGTGAGAGTGTGTGTGAGAGTGAGAGAGTGTGAGAGAGAGTGTGAGAGAGTGTCTGAGAGAGTGTGAGAGAGTGTGTGAGAGAGAGAGTGTGAGAGTGTGAGAGTGAGAGAGTGTGAGAGTGTGTGAGAGAGAGAGTGAGTGTGAGAGAGTGTGAGAGAGAGAGTGTGTGTGTGTGTGTTTCGGCCTTCATAAAAGCTGCTCGCTAAACAGCACTTGCCCCAACAGTCCGTTCAAGGCTATACGGGGGATCTTTGTCTTTGTGTAACTCATAGCTTAATCACCCATGGGTTTGTCACTTGACATTCTGCCAGAAAGCCTTAGGCACTTCACACGGCCTCAAAAATGCACCTAGCCTGGCACAAGCACATGTAATGACTTCACCGTAACTTAATTGGTGACTCAGCCTCAAATGAGTACCTGGTGTGGTGTCTAAACATCGCCACTGGGGAGACAAAGGCGGCCGGGCGTGGTGCTGGCCACCCACCCCCTCGTACTGTGCCGGCCGTCATAGACGTGCTTGGCACTTGCCCCAACAGTCTCCTCAAAGGCTATATGGGGAATCTTTACCTTTGTCCGTAGGTGCTACTCGCTAACAGCACTTGCCCCGACAGTCTGTTGCAGGCTATACGGGGGGCAGGGAGCTTTGTCTTTATGTCCACCAACATTTGTTTGGAAAACTGTTACGTTGTTTATGCAGCATTGTGTTAGTACGTTTTACAGGGGCTTGGTTTGGCCCGATCTTTCTGATGTAGTCTAGATTTATACTTGTAATTTTGATCTGTATTGTATTATGATTGCTATCGGGATCAAACATAGAAATGGAATTTTTTAGCACTTTTTGTACGCAGCATGGGACGGGTGCTGCTTTTTTCCGTAGGATTTCATTGTTTATGTGCGTGATCACCATGGGAACCTCATTTGCCAGTAAAAATATAATTGTTTTTTTACCCTTCTATCTGGCAACAAAACTGACACCTTTTTACAAGGAGTCATGTTTGCATAGACCACAATACCTGCAGCCATAATACAAACAAAAAACATAACTCTGGTAATGTATGCACTGTCCTTGAAGTTGATTGGTCCACACCCGAGACAGCTTTCCTTAGAGCCCAGTCTCACATGGGTTGGACCAGATGACGCCAAAAGGCGCACAACTCAAAGACAATGCACCATCAGAGTATGAGAGCTCGGGGTAAGCATTTACACCATTGGAACCTCATTTGCCAGTAAAAATATGATAATTGTTTTTTTACCCTTCTATCTGGTAACAAAACTGACACCTTTTTACAAGGAGTCATGTTTGCATAGACCGCAATACCTGCAGTCATAATGCAAACAAAAAACATAACTCTGATAATGTTGGACCAGATGGCATCATCTGGTCCAACACCATGTGAGACTAGGCTCTAAGGAAAGCGGTCTCGGGTGTGGACCAATCAACTTCAAGGACAGTGCATACATTATCAGAGTTATGTTGTTTGTTTGCATTATGACTGCAGGTATTGCGGTCTATGCAAACATGACTCCTTGTAAAAAGGTGTCAGTTTTGTTGCCAGATAGAAGGGTAAAAAAACAATTATCATACGTACGTGATGTTTAGATCTGTGCGCAACGAATTTTAGGTGCATCTTGTAATTTTATTGTTGCGGTTGCACCCAAAATCAAGAGCCGAATGGGGCTTGCAGGGTAAATCCTAATGAATGAAACTAAAACTGAAAACTGAAAACTGAAACCAACCTCTTGTCTGCCTTTGTGGTTTTTTTCTCAGGGAAAGGTTCTGGATGGAAGTCTCGGTTTTGCCGCTGGGGTGAGCACCTCACTCCCTTCCTGCTGCCAGATTCCACAACAGGGTGGCAGTGCTGTTCGGACGCTTGTGCGCCTTTGTGTGTGACGTTTGTATGATCTTCCCCTGTTCTACAGAGTGAGTGGAGTTTGTATGATCTCCCCCTGTTCTACAGAGTGAGTGAGTGGAGTTTGTATGATCTCCCCCTGTTCTACAGAGTGAGTGGAGTTTGTGTGATCTCCCCCTGTTCTACAGAGTGAGTGTGTGCCGTTTGTATGATCTCCCCCTGTTCTACAGAGTGAGTGGAGTTTGTGTGATCTCCCCCTGTTCTACAGAGTGAGTGGAGTTTGTATGATCTCCCCCTGTTCTACAGAGTGAGTGGAGTTTGTATGATCTCCCCCTGTTCTACAGAGTGAGTGGAGTTTGTATGATCTCCCCCTGTTCTACAGAGTGAGTGAGTGGAGTTTGTATGATCTCCCCCTGTTCTACAGAGTGAGTGAGTGGAGTTTGTATGATCTCCCCCTGTTCTACAGAGTGAGTGAATGGAGTTTGTATGATCTCCCCCTGTTCTACAGAGTGAGTGGAGTTTGTGTGATGTCCCCCTGTTCTACAGAGTGAGTGAGTGGAGTTTGTATGATCTTCCCCTGTTCTACAGAGTGAGTGAGTGGAGTTTGTATGATCTCCCCCTGTTCTACAGAGTGAGTGGAGTTTGTGTGATCTTCCCCTGTTCTACAGAGTGAGTGAGTGGAGTTTGTATGATCTCCCCCTGTTCTACAGAGTGAGTGAGTGGAGTTTGTATGATCTCCCCCTGTTCTACAGAGTGAGTGGAGTTTGTGTGATCTTCCCCTGTTCTACAGAGTGAGTGAGTGTGGTTTGTATGATCTCCCCCTGTTCTACAGAGTGAGTGGAGTTTGTATGATCTTCCCCTGTTCTACAGAGTGAGTGAGTGGAGTTTGTATGATCTCCCCCTGTTCTACAGAGTGAGTGGAGTTTGTGTGATCTTCCCCTGTTCTACAGAGTGAGTGAGTGGA